CCACTTACGTTTGACATTTTTATATAAATAAATAATATGTAAAAGAGTTCTCCTTTCTTTTGCCTTCATCAATTTCTATACTTTTCCCAACATTTTCAACTCCAATGAATGGATGTGATTCTTTAGCTTTTGGCCAAAGCAGAGAGACAAGGGCAGTGCCTCTTCAGTTTGCTGAATGACACAAACAATTGCATTTTCTATATGCTCTTCACCACTCAAATTATTATATTCAAACAAATCCAGTAAAAAAAACAAAAAAATCCATTTCTAAATGGGAACTGAAACCCAAAAAGGAAAAACCATTTTTAATTTCAAGATATTGATGAAAAGTAAATTATCCTGGCCCAGGACTAGGATGAAAAAAATGCTACTACACTCTAGGATTCTATGCTTTGCAGTCATTTCTGAATTTGACATTATAATAAAAGGCTCCACCAGATAGGATTTTCTGAAGCAGATAGATGAGTGTGTGGAGCAGAAGAGTTTTGCTTTTACCTCCCAAAAAAAGGTGGCCTACTAAAGTCCCACGTCACAAAACTGGGAAAAACTGGACACACTAAATAACTGGGGACGGGCCACCTAAGGGTTAGGGTTGCCATTAGTTGGGTTGTGGCTGGGGAAGGCCTTGTCCAACTTATTGTTGAGCTGAAGATTTCTGGTTTGCAACCAAAAAGATCATTCCAAATCACTTATTATCATCAAGACAGGATAAAAAAGAACAAGCTTGCAAGTTGAAGCTTGAAACTTCCCTCCTTCCTATTTTCCTCTTCGACTGTTTCTATAATGTTGAGTGATTCAGATAATATCAACCACAACTTAGGCTACCTAGCCTAGACATTGTTTTATTCCTATGCCACACAAATCAACTTAATGAGTTGAGAAATCAGAAAATCAGAAAATCACAAACTGCAAAAATATCACTCCAAATGATCAGATATGATTGTTTCTGCAAGGAAGACTCAGCTTGATAGCATTTTTTAAGCACTTTATAAAGCTCTTCAGCAGCTTCAAGATAGTTACAACTGAGTTGCAAAGAGTTTTTCCATTAGCAGATTAATTACAACTCAAAGTAATCAAGATAACTCTATTAAAAAATAACAATGATGATACATATGGTGAAGAAAAGAAAGTCACTGTAAAACATAAGAAACTGACCTAAGCTACAGTGTTGCTTCTTCATCTTCAGAGCTTAACTTCTACATCTACCCCAGCAGGAAGGTCAAGCTGCATCAGGGAATCGATTGTTTGGGCAGTTGGGTATAGAATGTCGATGAGACGCTGGTGAGTCCGGATCTCAAAATGAAACCTTGCATCCTTGTGTACATGTGGGGATTTGAGAAGGCAGAATACCTTCTTCTTTGTTGGTAATGGCACAGGACCCATGGTCTTGGCATTGGTAGTCCGTGCAGCATCCATTATCCGCTTGCAAGAGTCCTCAATCAGGGGCACCCAGTATGACCTAAGTTTAATTCTAATCTTCTGCTTAGGTGCCAGCTGGAAAAAGAAACATGGCAAGAAAATCAAAGGTCTGCTATAATGACAACTGCATCAGAATATAAATGGGATGCTTCTATAGCCCAATTTCACACTGCTTTCTTTTGAGCCCCAACACTTGAAGGTACAGGTATCATAAAAGAAGTTAAGAAAATAATCCTCAAACAAGAATACCATGCTGGGAAGTGGAGGGCAGTTGGATGAGAGAACGGTCATAGATCTTTTTTGAAATATCCATATTTTTTCGACAAAACCATCTTCAAATATCTTAACAAAAGATATAATGGGTCATTCAATAGTGAATAAAAATTAATGTGTGCATGAAAGAGTTTGGATCAGGAAATCAAAATTTATATCCAACCTACTTTGATTTTCCTAACAAGCATATCACATAGAAGCAGATAAAAGGGGTTCCGTCTTGACCATTAATTTGGTTTTTCTACACTTTCAGATGTATATTTTAGCTTTCAATAGTTTCTACATTTTTGAGAATCAAAAGAAAGATACCTTGTCTGCATCAGCGCTAATTGATGGAGAACTGTATTCCACAGAATCTACAGCCTGCAAGACAACAGAACACATCAAAACAGATTATATCATACCAAATCCAGTCTAGATGCTCGTTTAACTTTCTGATAGTAAAGCAAATTTCATTCAAATGTCACCCTTCTTTGGTGTGCTTTGAAGAGCAGAACAAATAGTCATTTCTTTCCCTCATAGTTTTCAGCAACTAAGTAGATAATTAAGTTATTAAAGAAGACAGAACCCACTAAGCAAAATGGTGTGGTGGTAAAGGACTTGCTCGAAAAGATAAACAGAATTAAATTCTTTTTCGTTCACATATATCCTCACCAACCACACAGGAAATTAGCAAACTATAAACATTGAATACCAAACCCATTACTTAGGTCCAATAGTGCTACCACTACTCCACCAGAATCAAATGCGATAAAAGAAACCACCTTTTTTCATACAATTTCTCTCAAACCAAACACGGGAGAAATTCATCAGAAAGGCACAAAGAAACACCCAATCCCACTAACTCAAACAGCAATGTTACATTCAATTAAAAAATTGCCCCCATTTTCCCATCATTTCTCCCCTACCAAACAGACCATCACCAACAAGGTAAAAGAAAAAGAAGAAAGAGAGAAAAAAACAACATACGGACCTCAAACTCATCAGGGCCTTCTTGGGACTCCAAAGCTTCGGGGGCAGCAAAAACCCTAGTGGGTGACGGTGAGGGTTTAAGAGTATTGCTAAGCTTCAAGTCACTGAAAGCGGATGAAACGATGGAAAAAGATGCAAACTTTGGTTTTGAGACAGACGAAGGAGAATTTGGGGTTGTGAGAGAAGGTATTAGGGCTGAGGAAATTGAAGAAATTGAAGAAATCGCCATTGATATCCTGAATCTTCCTCAATTCTTCCTCACTGTTCTTATCCTTTGCCTCCTCTCACTCTCACTTGAATTATCCAAAGATTTCCATTTTTATTCTTATTTTTTTATTTTGACATTTTTTAGTTGGGCCCAAAAGGTCATGGAAAATCCTATATACTTAGATCTTGTATTGGGCTGGGGTTGTTCTACAGAACCCAAAACCCAAAATCTGTTACATTTCCAATTTTTCATTTCCCTGTTTCATATAAGGGTCTTTCTAAGGGTTTTTCCTAAATAAAGTTAATTTTTTTTATGTAAATTAATAATAAAAATGTCTAATAAATAGAACTTAATTTTGTCTAAAGTCATATGTTAGAAAATTCCTTCATTTAATGATTTTCCAATAAAAATTTTTGTTGAGTTAAAAAATTATAAATTATTAACGAAATTTCTATTGTAAATCAAACTCCAGGACAAAAATAATTAAATGAAAAAAAAATCTATAATATTAAGAGACTTACTTATCATCTAATGATCTCAGTTTAGATAATTTTTTAGATCAAAATATAACCAAAAAATACTTTAGGCTGTATTAACCTCTAAAATATAATTATTAGAAGATAAAATGTCTTCAATAATATGTGAATATTTTTAATTGGTTACATAAACATTGAACCCTTCGTATAGTCTTCTTATCTTATTAGAGTTTTTTTCTTAATTAATTAATCAATAATGGTTCAAGTGAAAAGGGTATCATATCCTTTAAAAAAATTTTAAATTTGATTCTTATAAATAAAGAAAAAAATATTAAGAGATTTTTCTCTCATAAAATTTAATTCAACTTAATTTTAATTTAATTAGGTTCAATATAACTTTTAAATATAAGATTAGTAAAAAAAAAAAAAAGAAAGAGGAAAAGCAAGTTTCAGCAAACTTAATTAATGTAAAAACAAGAAATTCAACAAAGTGACCTACGATATTAATCAATCATGATGTTTGGTATTAATCAATCATGATGTTTCTAGTCATTAACAGTGGGGCATACTTGTGAGCATCATTGATGAAGAAAGAGATAAATTAAACTCCATGGAAAGAAGCCGATACTCATTTTATCCTCCCTAATGTAAAAGCAACCACTTTTTTGGGAAATTTCAAAAGGTTTGAAATTTCAGTTTCAGCTAATGAATGTAGCATAAATAACCGCCAAAGTTTTATTTTTTTGTCCTTCCACTTCCACAGTTTCCTCTCAACTACTCCTCAACGAACCACCTTCCCCATGTTCTTCTTAAAGCTCCATGTATTAAACACATCTAAACATTCTCTCTCTCTTTCTCTTTGCACCAAACTCTCATAAGAAATCAAAACTTCCATCTTCTTTTAAACCCTTCCATCTTTGTACTTTGTCCTATGAATCTATTCCTTCAATATGTAGAACTTCAACGGGCATCATTCCACCGACGCTCCTAATTTATTATTGTCACGCCCTTTCAACTTCGGTTATAGAGTAACTGTTAAAAGCAAAATGCATCAAAAAGATCAAAACTTGAAGTAAAAAGAGACATGGGTTCTGCTTGTTTTACTACATTCCTTCTGGGTTTCTTGGTACTTTGTTGTGGGAGAAAGCTCAACATTATGGGCTACTTGATTCTTGTTAGTGTTCTTGTACTGGCTGTTTGTGCATTTGCGGAGAACTCCTCAGAAAATGATTTGTACGTGAATGGGAACAGCTCTAACTTCATTACTTGGGATGACATGAAGGTGGATGAGCTCCGGGTAAGCGTGAGATCAGGGGATGACTATAACCGGACCAGGGTCATTGTTGTTGATAAGAATGGTGGGGGAGATTCTGTCACAGTTCAGGGTGCCATTAACATGGTTGCCGAATATAATACTCAAAGAGTCAAGATTTTCATTCTTCCAGGAATTTACAGGTGTGTATAGAGAATTATAAACAGACAAGTTTTGTTTAGAACAGAATTAAATGTTTAAAGACTCTGTGTCTTTAGTATTACTTCTGATTCTTGACTTGTGTTTTGCCAGGTTTCGTTTTCAGTTTTTGTTTCGAAAAAGTTTAATTGATTTTGAGACATTGGTTTAGTTTTTTGCATGTCTAGCAACAGAGCATCAATGATATTATGTTCTACGACTTTATTTGTTATATTATTCAATCTTCCCAAGTTTAAAGGAACTGATAGAAATATGCAGAGAGAAGGTAATTGTTCCGAAAACCAAGCCATACATCTCGCTCATTGGAAATGAAACTGAGGCATCAAATACCATGATTACCTGGAACAACAAAGCATCAGACAAAGACGGCAATGGATGTGAACTTGGAACCTATAAATCAGCAACGGTCACCATTGAGTCTGATTACTTTTGTGCATTTGGTATCACTTTTGAGGTGAAAACTGAAAAAGCAACCCCTAAACCCTGATTCTTTGCTTCTTCATTTTGAGAGATTGACCACGTTTAGTGTTCATGGTTATGGTGGCAGAATTCAGTTGTTGCAGTTCCAGGAGGGCGGGGGTGGCAGGCTGTAGCACTGAGAATTAGTGGGGATAAAGCAATGTTCTACAAAGTTCGGGTTTTGGGGACACAGGATACCCTGTTAGATGAACTTGGGACACATTATTTCTTTCGAAGTTACATACAAGGAAGTGTTGATTTCATATTTGGAAAAGGAAGATCTCGATATCAGGTAAAGAAAATTTTCTTGGTGTATTTTTTTTCCCCTTAGGCTGGTAACTTTCCTAAAAAATTCTGTTGGCTTTGATTTGAAACAGGAATGTGTTCTTCATTCGACCGCAAACAGATCAGGAGCAATAGCAGCTCACCACAGGAATTCACCAGATGACACAGGGTTTTCCTTTGTGAACTGTACTATAAATGGGACTGGTAAAATTTACCTGGGAAGACCTTGGGGAAACTATTCGAGAGCAATATATTCATACTGTTACTTTGATGACATCATTACTCCTCCAGGATGGACTGACTGGAACCACCCTGAGAGGCAAAAGTATGATCTTTATCTTTTATCCCTAACAGGTTCAATGATTCATTGGGGATATGGGAACCTGACATTGTTCCGAGTTTTGCTTTTGCAGGACTTCAGTGTTTGGTGAATACCAGTGCTGGGGAAGAGGAGCAGAGACAAAGGATCGAGTGGCATGGTCAAAGCAATTCAACTATCATCAAGTAAGACCATATCTGGACATGAAATTCATCAATGGAGAGGAGTGGCTGAGACTGTGATCCTTCCCTCACGGGGCAGAAATTCAGGGCAGTTCACTTTTGCTGAGCTTCCCCTGTTTCATCTTTCCAACTTTCTATTCAGTTCCTTGGGAAAAATCAAAATGGACTCTAAACTCTGTACATACAGACACCATAATGAATATAGTATTCTATATATCATTGTTTTTTCCAGTCACTGTCATGGATTATACTGCTAAACTTTCAAAATACAGAATTCTACAGAGTTTTTCAAAAAAAGAGCGAGAGGAATTCTGAATCTGAGACTGTAGAGTGCCGAGGAAGATATGACTACACTTCATGTTGCGTAGAGGAGATCCTAAATCCTAACCAAGGAATTTGAATGCCAACCCCGTTTTTGATACAATGCAATGAGCTACAACAGGAACCATGAAGAAAATCTAATCTCACTAGTCACTACTGTACACCTACCAAGGCCATGATGTCAAGCCAAAACACGACTTTGCACCATTTGTGCATATCACTATTTACAAAAACCATGACCAACTAAACCAAATCAGCCAACATTAGTAACACCATCACCAGAATTAAAATAGATTGTATTGCATACTTATCTTAAACAACCTATGAGGTGACTTCCATGAGTTTGACGGATTTACAGTTCTCGGAATTCTCAAGTTCCATTTCTAGCCTGCCTTCCTTGAGACCATTTGATTCATTTCCATGGTCGTTGCCACTGTTGTTATCACCTTCCAAATTGTCTGATTTACCAAGAGCATTGTTTGTGTCATCACCACCATCCCCATCACTTTCATTTTTCAGTGGAGGTTCCTTACTATCACTGTCACCCTCATCTTTTTCATCATTTGATATTCCAGGCTTATTGCCATCAGTGCAGTCCAGGTCTTCCTGAATAATGTTGGAACAACCTTGAATAGCCAATTGGGGTGTGTGCTCTTGAACACTATCCACTTTAGGAGCAGTAGGAACCTCACTGACTGGTGTAGCAAAATTATTAGAATTGTCATCCTTGGCTACAGAAGAGATTGAAACTTTTGTGTCCAGGCTAGCCGCAGCAGTTATGACTGAGATTATATTGGGTTTTGCCTCAATATCAATCCACTGGTCCCCCACCCAATCTTTGGAAATTCTTAGATCCTTCTTATTAATGTTCAAGGAGAGATTTTCACCTAATAGAATCACAAGAATGATTAAACAGGAGAAAATTCAGTTCAAAAGAAAAAATAAAAAATAAAAAAGACACAAGATAAAGAATAAATGCATCACTAGCTTTTTCAAAGAACCATACCAGGAAAGTAAACTTGCATACTATCTTCACCACCATTGTTCACTCCAGTTATAACTCCTTCCCACCAGCCATCACTCCACCATGCATCAACTGCAATCCCAACCTGAAGAACAAGATCCGTTTGAGCACTGGGAGGGGAAGGTCGAATTGTCGGACGACCTGAACACCTCATGCCAAGTTTATCAGGCACAGCCAGCTTGAAAGCAGGGATCCATTCCTACATATTGAAGAAAGCATCAACTTTTCTCTTCAAGAGAATGAATTCCTGTATATAAATGCTCAGAGCAAACCTTGCCACCAAAACAATTATTATTAAATTCTTTCTTTTCCACAGAAAAAAGAATAAAAGTACCAAAAGAATACTATGAGTGTCTCTCAATCCATTGAAAGACATTACACATAGTTTTCTGATGTCCAAGCATACCTCAAGATTGCCATACCCATCTTCATCCTGCAGATCATCATATTGAACTTTCATCTGTTTTCTGCCTACTTGAAGGATCGTACATCTGAACCAACAGCCTCTGATTCCACTATCTTGGCACAGCAATTCTATCTTTTCATCAACCTTAAAAACTGGGTGAGGCCAGGACTGAGAGTCAACATGCTTCAGGGAAAGCAATCTCTTGCTTGAGAAACCATATTTTATATTCTTGTATGAAAATTCATAATCCATTGAGTGGAAACCCCTCTCAGTTCTGGTCCTTTTATTTCCTAGCTTTACTTCTTCGCCTAGGCTCAGTTCTTCTTCCTCTTCTTCATTTACACCATGGCTTATAGAATCTGGCTCAGCAAAGATACTAGAGTTCAAACATGAGACAATTGGTTGCTCAGAATAGCCACGTAATTTACTCAAATCAAAGGGCTTCACTCTATTACTTCTGAACTGCCTATAACATAGATGTACTCTGGCTAATAAAGCATTAGGAAAAGTGTCCAAGCATTGCTCATAATGTTCACGAGTTAAAACAGTAGCTGGACCATCAACACACTCTGCACTAATGACCTGTGAATAAGGTGTGATAAAAACTTCTTTTGGGTGAGGATTTTTGACAGGAATCACACCCTTAACTTCTTTGTTATGGTGAAACCACCTCACTTTGACTTTCTTCTGCCCTCGTTTGTCTTCATACATATCTTCCAGGTAAGCAACATAGTGATTTTCTTCCTTGGCCATGACAAAGACAAACGATTGAATCTGAATAACAAAGTAAGGAAAAAGTCAAGTCCAGGAGCTATAATACTGAACAAAAATATTATTATTATTATTTTTTTTTTTGAGAAAAATATAACAGTTAAATTCAGTTGTCTTGTCATTGGTTAATAGTTTCAAAGACTTCATGCTATGACTTAGAAACTGTGGCCTTCATCAAGTAATTATGATCTACTTAGATGAATACTTCAAAAGCACTTGACAAAATGTACAACATGTTGTACTTATCTTTGGATCATTTAGTTTCATATTTCAATTGTGTTATTAACTTTATTTTTTGGATTTATCATTTCATTTCTAGAGGAAAATAAAGACAGATTCTACCAGTCTAATTAATGAATTTAGAGGACTTGTTTTGAAAACAAGTGAGAGTCCAAGCAAGCAATCCACCATCTATCATCTCTGTTTTAATTTATAGACACTAATAAAAGCTTACCGCTATACTAGTCCCATTACGGCAAAATGCTGGGTAATGCTTAAGTTGTTTGCCACATGTCCATGCACTGCCTGACCAAACAATGTCTGAAGTGTGTCCACGCAAGCTTCTCGAAAGACAACCCTAGAATTTTGGTGTCCAATAAACATCAAAGGAAACAATGAAAAATGAATTAAAATAAATACAATACCAAGAAGATATACCAGATTATTAGGCACTTGGGCTTTCTTAGAACCAATGCTCACTGCAGATTCAGGAGTTCCTGTAGGTGGAACTGCACCATGCTTTGGTGACTCTGTCATTTGAAGGCTTATTAAGAACAGTAAATTTCATAATATATATTTTCGTCTTGTGGTTTCTAGGAGAAAATAAAATGCTTTCCATGCATTTATTGGACGAATCATCCATGACCTTTAACAAAGTTTTATCAAACTTTGGAAAGATAAGAAGTTCTTACAATAATCAACAGATTATGATATTCTCATAAAACATAATTGTCATAAACCATACTTGATTATTGCCTAAGACTTTCCCTAACTACAAACTGTGGGAAGTAGCATAACCTCCCTGAAAGATTCATGATAATACTAATAACATCAATTCAAGAGATAACTAGGCAAAGTGGAGAAGTAAGCAAGTAAAAGCACAAAAAGTTGATAGTAAGCAAACTTAAGCAGAGCTGGCAGTTTAGAAACTATGATAGCAAAAGTGAACTCATCACCACACACCTATATACTGGCAGTGGCAGAGATGCCAAGTTGAATTCTATGATAACAAAAGGGGGTAATCATACTAAAGGGCAATGATAGATGATACATACTTGACTGATCTGCTTGTAGATGCTGCTTTGAAAGCATAGACGTGAGCCAATCCACAACCTCTCTTCTTGACCTCCATTTGAAGCCAACATTAATTGAATGCTCAGGACCATACAACTTCACGAACTCCTCGGCAACAACATAGAACATGTGCCTCACACTCCTCTCAGTGCCAACAACTGCAAGGATGGATTCCCCAGCAGAATCCTTCAAGAAATAGTGTACCACTCGGTTGCCACGTTCCTGTGAAACAAATTCCTCCTTCCATTCCACAAAACAGTGACCATTTCCAGACATTTTGACGTAAAGCACCAAGAGGTGGTTTAACAAAGCAGCAGAACCAACTTCAAAACTTATTCACATAGCTAATATGCCCAAATTAATTGGCAACACTATTAACTTTGTTGCCCCAAAATGCTACCGACATGATATATCCATACACACACACACACACACACACACAAAAAGACCCTTAAATACTGCAATAAGTTATTGCCCTATATATAAGAGATTAAACCTAAGATCCCTGAGTTCTCCGCCCAAAGAGAAATAACTCAGAAGGAAAGAGAACTCAGAAAAATCTATTGTTTGACTTTCTAAATATCAGAAATTACACAGAAATAGAAGCACCAAATAAGTTGCAAGTGCCGCAATAAACTACATCCAACTGGCTACGGTACTACGGAGATCGACTCCCTTTTGCAACAATATACGATCTTTTAACATGTAATCAAGGGAAAAAATTGTCAACACTAACCCCAAGCTGAAAAACTAAAGGAGGAACCATGAACTTTCAAAGAACTCTACCAAACAGCAGTGGAGAATGAGAAAAAACAGACCAGAACTCACTAAAAGCTGAGACTCGAAGATCTGAGAGCAGATCAGAGACAAAGCTTAGAAACCCAAGGTCCAAGTTTGAAAGCACCACAAGGCACCGAGAAATGGCTTTGACCGAGTTAACTAAGAGAATCATTGAGAAAATGAAATGGGCATCCCAGTTCAGGCCAAAAGAAACAATCTTGAGCAACAGAAGACGACCCTTTTAGGTCCTGATTATTGAAAAGGAACCAGGCGGTGCTGGTTCTAAAGGGGTCAAGAGAAAATGAGGGAACAGAAGGCCTTCTAACTACTTTGAGCAGTTGTTCAAGAAGAAAGAGTGGAGAGAAGATGCAGAGGTGAAAATAGGAGAAGGAGGCAGCCCAAAGAGGACATTTGATGGGTAGTTTGGGAGTTGCAGAGGTTTGGCATGCAGCTGGTGAGGAGAGAGATGAAGAGAAATGGTAGGAGGAGAAAAGTTGAAAAATTTTTATAAATTGAGATTTCTCTTCTCTCACCAACTACATTTCAGACATTCAGTGCTGAATCCCATCCCTCATGTGGGCAGGCCCATAAGGCCCTGAGTTAGCAAATATGGGCCTTTGCTTTGATCCTTTGGAGTGGAGCCCACCTGACATATATAGATTATTCAAATCATTAAATTAAAATAGAAGGAAAAAAAAAAAAAAAAGGTTTTTTGTGAACTTTGTTTCTAAAGCTACATGCCAACCTGTAACTTTAACGTTTATTTATTTATGGTATTATGGACATTAATTTGACATAAAAAGTCAATTTCCAATGACAGATTTCCCTTTGTTGGTTTCCCCACAACCACAAAAAACAAAGGTATTTTCAGGGATTTTCTATGATCCCTGAATTATTACCGGAAGCACTTGGAATTCTTTAGTCTTTCTTCCTCCAACTTGTTATAATTAACTCTCTATATCCTCTGAGTGCATAGGTAACTCCAACCATTTGCAAACACCATTTTTTGTCTCTTTTATGGTAGTTCCACTTCCACATAATTTGCACTCAGATGGTAAGACGTCCAAAAAGAATATTATTTTTTTTCTTTTACAGAAAAAGAAGAATATTCTTTGGGTGTTTTATGATTTAAACAAATCTCTTGCTTGCCCATTTGCATGCATCCATTCAATCTCATTCATTTTAATATTTCAAACTTAGCTTATTCCTTGTTCCAACTTCTCTTCAGCAAGATGGCTAATCGCTTAATTGCTATTGGAAAATGAGGCCATAAAATAGGTGGTTTGCCTATGGTAAGTCATCATTGTTTTTACAAGGGAAAAACCAGAGTGCTTGCTTTTGCATGTGATGCTCATCCTCTGGTACCACAGATCACATGAGCATTAATTTTGTGGGGCAGTGCAAGCAAACAACTTCAGCCACACTCCACACACACCATTCTCCCTTTTTATGGAAATCATGTTGTGGTTCATTGATATATATAACTATAGAAGACTTTTAGGGCATAGGTGAACAAGCAGAGAGACACCCCCACAAAATTAGTGCCCAAAAACTTGCTAGAAAGCTAGGCAAGAACAAAAGAAAAGACACAGGATGAGGGCTCCATATCTCTTGAAAGCAGCAATTCAAAAAATTTACCAGCCAAGAGCTAGCACGTTGAACAAGACTGAATTGATGACCATCTAGATTTCACTTCTCATGTGCCTCGATTAGGAGTTTGAGTCGATACTGGTGGCCCATATGAATATCTCCAATGGTCACAAGCTGAGCATCTGTCCAACTTCACACTGTTTTCCAGAGTACAGAACTTACAAGACCAAAATTCGTGCTTTATACCAATGTCTTTGGGCTTTTCTGCAGTACAGAGCTTGCATAATGGGGCAAATGGCTGCATTGACAGGACATCAATCACAAGCAAAACATGTAAGTTGCTAAGGCAACTGAAGGGAGAAAGAAATCAACTCCAAAAGTAGAATGCATACATACACCAGGGAACCTTAAAGTGCACAAATAGACCATGCACCAACATTTCTATACTACATTATTTGTTAGAAAACATAGAGATCAGATCCAAAAGTGAATGACGTCTCTTCATGAGCAACTAGTATGGATGAAGCAATATTGTTATTTGAAATACTTACAGGATTCAATAAAGTGCACGTTCCACACTCCCACATGGCAGGTTCCGCTGGAGCATGTGGAAAATCATCACTACGCATAGATCTAGCTGAAGAGGTACTTGACAAAAACTGATTGGTGGTACTGTTATTGGATTTAGAATTTTGCTTGTTTGATCCAGCACTATGATCAAGGATAGATCCAGACTCTGGATCTTCTGTAGTTAAATCCACAAACTTGGATTTAGAGTGATTATCTGAAGATTTATAGGGAGGAAGTTTATCTTGTTCATGCCCTCTTTTTCGAGAGCTTGCAACTGAAGCATGTCCATTGAGATCACTATTGACCTTCACTGAACTTTGCCCTTCCTGTAATGAACCAGTGCAACTTTCTTCGTCCCCAACAACCTCAGAAGAATGAGAACCACACCAGATATCATCTTGCAATCTCCTTTCTGCAGCCATTGCAGCTGCTTGTATTGGACTAAGTGCATCCATAATTGTACTATCACCCCCAAGACGTTTTGGCCCAGATGGTAGCAGAGAGCCCAAACGCGCTCTGTTCTCTGCAGCAGCTAATGCAGTTTGGCGAAGAGATGGAAGAGGAGGTTGTCGGGAAAACCCACCCAAACGCCTACCAGGAAGATCAAACCCCTGTCCAGCACCACTTATTCCCTTGGCTCTAAGCTCTTCACACTCCTGCATGACTAAAATGGAAACAAATAAGTAAAGCAACTACAATGGGAATGCTACCCAACCTTGAAATTGAAGATGTTATCCAAATCACATTCCAATACTTTCTCTGTTTGACAGATTTATATTCTTAGTCACCCCTACAAGACTGCAATTGGGACTAAGGTATCCAGTTTCAGGATCCTAAGAATATCTAAAGAAATAGGATAATCGGATGAAGCTTTAGAATTCCAATAAATTTAATAAAATTTTAAAGACACAGCCTCTGCATTCTTTCACTTATTTATTCTTTTAGAGGGAGGTGGGGGAAACAGGAAACAACAAAATGAATGAGAATATAGTGCAGACCAGCAAATTCTTCTCAGCAGACATTTTGTAATGGAGAGTATATGTATAAAAATTTAGAAAATAGACTGAATCTCATATAAAGCTTGAATGCAATCTCACTGCCATCTACCCTTAAGCTTGATAATAAAAGAAAAGGCAACGTCTAGATAACATCCAAAAACTCCTGATGTGTTGCTTTCTTGTAGACTACAACATTTTTTATTTTGCACCTAGAGCCTTCTATTTATGATAGGAAAGCACCAATATGAGCCACACCAACATGAATAAACATAGCAAAAGGCAATAATAAAAAATCAAAACTTCAGAACTATAGCCATCCAGAAAGGACAATGTGCGAGCTGCAGGCAAGCAGAAATGTTTTAAGATGAGTTGAAAGGCCTAAAAGATACATTTAACATAATCACAACAAAAAATGAAAAGATTGTTTACTCAAAATCTTTAGTTATCTAAAACCTAAAACAATATGAATGCCCATAACTCTTAAAAGTCAGACATCCAAATAAATAGAGGGAAAAAAAAATTACTGAAAAATATAACATACAAAACTTTGAGCTTTATAGACTTTAACTTAAAAATGAAAAACTGGAAGAAGAAAAGAGGGATAATAAAAGAAAAGATAAAAAGACCCTTCTTAGTTCATCCCAAAGCTTGTAGAAACTAGCATTATGAGGACCGTGAACATTATGGCAAAGCTCATGAAGCATGGTGTCCAGAACTTGATCAAAAGGGAAGAAATCCCAATCCCTATTCGGCCTCCGAAGCCTCAGCTTGATCTGCAAGCCGCCCCCTACATTCAAACCCAATAGAGACGGATTGCTCGGGCTGAGAAAAACCACAGACAGGAACACAAAAAGAGAGAAACTTTAGAATCTGAAACAAAAATCTCCAAAACCCCAAAAATCTACGAACATAAATCAATGAAAATAGTTGCAAAAACACCAGAGTCCATGCATAGGATACTCTATAAGTAAAACCCACAAATCTAAAAACGTGAAATCAAACGAAAATAATAGCAGAATACCAGAATTCAGAGAGAAGCTTGACTCTCCAGTTGTGTTTACGCATGATCGGCTGAACCTGTTTGGCGATTTGCTCCAGGAACTTCTTCGCCTCTTCTTCTCCCGGTTTCTTCAGTGCTTTTATTTCCCATACTTTGTGCAAATCCCCCAAATTCATCTCCTTTTTCCCCTAAAAATGTTGGGATTTTCAAATAATATGATGGGTTTTAGAGCAATTTGCCTTCTGATTTGAGATTTAAGCAGTGCTTCGTTGGCGGGACTTCGAAGTTGTCGTACGTCCTAAGCTGGATGGAGGGATTTCGTAAAGAAAAAGAAAGGGAAAATGAATTTCCGAATTTCGAAATCTGTTTTTCTGGAATCTACACTAGAGGGAAGAACGTGGTGAGCTCTTGGCCCAATATGTGTTTGGGCCTTAAATAGTTAAGCCCTCAGATATCAAAGTCCTAGTCTTAAAAGGAGTAGGCAAAACGCACAGATTAGCCCCTCAACTCATCATGTGGTGGCAGATCACCCCCTCAAGTCAGTTCACGCGCAAAAGAACCTCTTAACTCGTCTTAGGTGGCAAATCAGCCCCTCTATGTAACATGACATCATTAATCCGTTAAAACATAACATTTCACTCATCACGTTCGGTTCTATTTCTGACCTAGATTTTTTTGTTAGAGATGGATGCTTTGTCTTTTATTACATTCCCATCTGATTGCTAGAGAGGATGAGTTTCTGCGGATTCCAAATAGTAGAAATTGAGCCTTTAACAGCTAGTGAAAGCCCGCCCAAGTTTAGATTTTATTGTCCATAAATACCCAAATTTAGATTAGATCACTGGGCTTAATACCCAAATACCTCCTTTACTTTTCTTCTTAGAAACTATTCCTTAATGATTATCTTCTCCCTCAACCTCTCCCTCCCTCTGAAATGGAATCATTGCTACCAACAGCACAATCACCCAAATCTCCATGGTCTCTGTCCACTACCACTTCCTCCACCGGTAACTACTACAACTATTGAGGCCCTACCTCCTTTGCGCCACCTCCTCAATCCCCTACCGGTTGGCTGGAACTGTTGCCTCCCTCAAACTACAGGGGAATCTGGGCTCCAGCTATTAATCTGCCTCCTAATAACAACTCCAAAGTGATCATCCTTGCTCCTGTGCCTCAATCCCAAAAGGTCCCATCCATTTCTCCTCCTTTCCGCTTCTAATCACCTTCCAAGAAAATCCACTCCCCCGCCGACATTCGCGAGTTTCATGAATCGAAAACATGGAAGAACTTCCTCGCTTCGTTGTCACCCTCTCAGAATCAATTCAAAGCCACAAGATCTCCGATCTGTGCCACGAATCCTCCACCACCACTAAAATCGCCTCTGTACTCGAAATCTTAATCCATTGGATCGACAAAATTCCTTTGGTTCAACAATCGTCTCACTACAGTAACATCTCCTACAGAACTTGGCATGAGTGGATAGGAATTTCCCGGTCTATTCATGCCTTCTTTTTGTTTTCCATTATATGGAGATCACGATTGTGCTATTTGGATGCAGAAACAAAAGCAAAGGAAGAATACAATCAAAAGTTGCAAGAATTGCAAGTAGAGGTAGCTTCGTGTAATGAATCGCGAGAAAAGCTCCAAAGAAAGGTTAGTAATAAAAGACAAAGCATCATCTCGGTAAAAAAAATCCAGATTAGATGCAGAGGAGGAGATGATGAGTGAAACGTTAAGTTTTAACGGATTAATGACGTCATGTTACACAGAGGGGCTAATTTGCCACCTAAGACGAGTTAAGGGGTTCTTTTGCGCGTGAACTGACTTGAGGGGGTGATCTGCCACCACACGACGAGTTGAGGAGCTAATTTGCATGTTTTGCCAAAGAAGTATCTAAATGAAAAAAAGGAATAAATAAGGGTACTAATTTTATTTTTTTATTTAAAAATATTATTTTTATTAATTTTTAAATAAAAATATTATTTTTTAATTTAAAGATATTAATGTTTAATTTTTTTATTTAAAAATT